TACGAACGCCATTCCACCACGATCACCACGTGGGAACACCTGCGCTATCGTGAGCATACATATCGGAACAGCGTCTCCCCGCTAATTTCGGTACATCCTTTCACACGGTTCATGCGCTCATAGAGCTCCACCTACGGCCCCAGACCCATCTCGGTACACTCCTCACAGGGATCGTGCCCCACAGGGAGCTCCACTTACGGCCCCATTGCATAGCGGCGCACTCCTTGCGCGGGTAGTGCTGCCCCGCAGGTAACTGCACTTAACAGGAAACTTCGCACAGCGTCGCCCCACTCCTCACGTCGGCACACCTCCCACATGGATCGTGCACTGCAAGGAATTCCACCTACCACCCCAGAGACAAGGTTCGTATCCCGTCCCCCCGCCCACTTCGGCACACCTCTCTCACTGATCGTGCCCCACAGGGAGCTCGACCGACGGCCCCGGAGACAAGGTTTGAATAGTGCCCATCCCGCGCTTATGGTGGTACACCCCTCACGCGGAACGTGCCCCACGGGGAGCACCACCCACAGCCCCAGAGACGAGGTTTGCAAATTGTTTCTCCGCCCATGCCGCACACTGTTCACGCGAATCGTGCTCTGGAACGAGCTCCATCTTTGGCAGCAATGGGCGACTTCGCATGGCGTTCCCCCGCCCATTTTGGCACGTGCCTCACGCACGCCGTGCCCCACTGCGGCCTCGGTGAGCGGGTTCGCGCGAGGGCACCTGGATTACTCGGCACGCTCTTCACAGATCGTGCCCCACACGGAATTCAGCGGGCCTGTGCTCGCGTGCTCCGCAACGGTCTCGCTATCAGATCAGTTCCGCGGCGCGCAGTATATGAAGAGAGGGCCGCGCCCTGCGCCACACGTGACTGCATAGGGATGGGCCCGTCGCAAAGCCCATTGTTTGCGGACCTATGGCGTTCGGGCCATCCCATACCGCCACCGTGCCTGAGTTTGGGGCCGAAGGCTTCTTGGATACCTGTAATGGGGGGTCTCTTGGCATGCTTCTCGGGCGCCTCGCGGCACGAGTTTTGAAGCTTCTCGGAGCCTCTTGGGGACCGTTCGCGGGCCTCTTGGGGCCTCTTTTGCGGCCAATGGGGGCCTCTTGGATGGGGGCCTGCTGGAGGCCTCGGGGGTCCACTTGGGGCGGAGGGCTCGAAATGTGAGGTCGGGTTCTGCCTCTTGGGCCTCTCTTGGGGCGTCTTGGGCACCTCTTGGACCGTCGTGGGGACCTCTGGGGCCGTCTTGGGGCCCTCCTGGGGGCCTCTTTGGCCGTCTTGGGGCGATCTTGGGGGCCTCCGCCCTGGATGCCATGAGGATTTAGCAAGCGACTGCGCTAAAACACAACGTCTTCCTTAGGGAATACTGCCATCTGGGGGCGCTCTTGGGGAGCATCTTGGAGCCATCTTAGGGTCTCTTGGAGGTATATTGGGCTGGGCCGTCTGGAGGCCACCTCGGGGCGTCTTGGCCTTCTTGCGCCGCTGTCGTCGCTTATCCGTGCTCACCGGAAGGTGTTTTGGGCGGCCAGGGCTGCCTGGTGAGGCCTGGGAGGCATCCGAGTGGGGTGCTAAAAAAAGAGGGGAATCTGGGAGGGTGTCCCGGCCCGAGCCCAGGCCCTCTAATAACCCGGCATATCATATACATCCGACACCGTGCCACCTGGCACGTTGACCCGCGGTGTAATGTGAAGTGCTGCTGTGCATTTCCAAAGGGCCTCCCTCCCCTTTCAGTTCGGCCCGACTCCGCCCTGGGACTCTCCAATGGCCACAAAGCCAGGATCGCCCAACATTGGCCCAAGAAGCCCCGACCACCCCCAAGAAGACCCGAAGAGGCGCCAAAAAGATCCCAAGAGGCTTCCAAGCCAGCATATAAAAGGAAAGGCCAACGTCTCCCCCCAAATGCAATTTCTGGGATGTCTTGGTGCTCTCGGCCGCCCTCGCGCACTCCTGGAGTGTTGCGCGTGACTTTGCTCGAGACCCACAGAGCATGGGCCCGAATCCAAACCTCGAACACATGCCTTAAGATGGTCCCGAGGGCCTGCATGGAGCCCACTTGCGGTTATGCTTATGACAGCAATGTTTCTGTTTTCGGTCTTGAGGGCGTAGCCGGCCCCACATGCACCCAAAGGTCGCCGCATGACGGCCAGGAGCCCCAAAAGAGAGCCTGAGAGGCCCCGACGACTACCCCACCAGGGTCCCCAACGGGGGAGCTCGAAGGGCTCTCTGGTGCCCTCCCCGTCAAGATGGCCCGCGGCACCGATAATTCGTTGGCCCAACGGCCCAGAGCAATCCCAAAGAGGCCCCCAGAGGCCCCGAAGAGGTCCCGAGGAGGCCGCAAGAGGCTCACAAGAGGTCCGCAAGAACCCGAGAAGCCTACAAGGGGCCTCCAGTCCACGACCCAGGCACGGTGGCGCGATGAGACACAGGCCACCAGGTACTGACAAGCATGCGTGTGCCATCCATTGTCTGTTCCAGTGCACTCCCTACCACTGTCTATCTCTGGCCTGCAGCGGCAACCCCTGTGCCCGTGGACCCCTCTTTGACTCACGCCAGGCGAGGAGGCCGGGCGGACACGCGCAGGCAAGGAGGAGACCCCAGCCTCTGCCCTGCTGCTGTGACACGAGCCGCCAGCTCGGAAACCTGGACTGCGAGCTAAACGGTCGCAGGTCGGGAGGACCTCGGCAAGTTCGCGTCGTGTCGACACCGGCGGTGGTTCCTGACACCGCGGGGATCGTTCAAACTCGAACGATCGGCCGTTTCAGAAACGTCAGATCGTTCAACATTGACCGATTCTGGATCGCCGTTGGCGTCCGATGCAGAACGCTCGCGGCGGGGTGGCCGCCGGTCGACACGACGCGAACCTGCTGTAGGGGAACACACAAAGACAGAAGCATAAGAAAACCGGCGGTCCTCGCGGAGTCCTCGGATCGGCGCGGGGGCGCCCTGGCAGCGCCACTGGCGCCGCCCCTGGGGCGCTCTGCACGCCAGGCAGGGGGGGGGGTGCAGCGCCGATCCGAGAAACCCGCGCGGACCTCCGAATTCCTACACGTCGCTCATCTCTGATCGTGCTCATCTCCAACTGTGCTCGTTTCTACGTAATTGTCCCTGGCCCCCTGGTGGCCAGGGAGAGGCCTAAGATAGAACAGTTAGAAATGAAAGGAGCTTGGCCCCCCCCCAAAAGCAAAGAACCTTCGAAGACTTAGACATGCACAGTGTGCATGTTCCTGTCGTATTGTCTGCTCCCCTGCACCGCATCCTCGGAGACCCCGGGGCAACACGCAAACGGGCGGCCCTTCGCGCGCCCCCTGCACGCGGTGGGCGGCGGCGGGCCGCGGAGGGCAGGGCAGGCGGGTCGCGCGCGCCAGCCGCCACAGACGCACTGCCCCGGGGGGGCGCAGAGAGGCGTTGCAACTTTCGTGCCCCCTCTTGGCCTCTGGGGGGCTCCTCCTCCTCCTCCTCCTCCTCCTCCTCCTCCTCCTCCTCCTCCTCTCCCTGAATTACCTTGTATCTTCAATCGCCCCCTGGGCACCTATAGGGTGCTCGAAAGGTGCACCTGTCTTCCCCCCCCTTTAATCGCTCCTCAGTGCGCAGCGCCCGAATGGTGGGCGGAGCAGGGCGCGCGGGTCGCGCGCGCCATTCGCCACAAACGCTGGAGGCTTGGGAGTGGGCACCAACACCAACACACGGGGATGCCTCCACTGGGGGACGATTGTCCAAGGTTTCGGTGTCGGTGGTAATATTTCGGCAAACTGGGGAGCCCGAATCTTGCCACCATCACCAGGATCGCGATCATCTTACCTCGATGGATGCACACTGCGGGCCGATCTTGGTGTTGGCGCCACCTCCAGACCTCCGAAGCTCTGTCGTTGGGACGGCGCAGGAGGACAGGACGGGACAGGACAGGGAGTCCGTGCGGCGGCAAACGCCCCGACAAAGTAATCTCAGTCACCGTATGGGATCAGTCCAGCGAAACATGAAGCAACGAAACAACTAAGTGAGAGCTGGCTGCAGAATTTTCCGGCGCTCCAGCGCCCCCGCCGTCGTCCTCGCGGCGCACGGCCGCGTGTCGAGGCACGCGGGCGCGGACATCGGCGTCCTGTCCTGTCCTGTCCTGCCCCTGCCCTAGGGCGATGGAGGAGGAAAACGGAAGGAAGGATGGAGGAAGGCGCAGCGCGGTCTAAAGAACGAAACAGAGAGGAACGAAGGAAAGCGAATGAACAGGGAAAGCAGATGAGGAAAAGAGATGGTGCGTCACGGACGCAGCCCAGAGCTCGTGACAAGAAATACGACATTCAAACCTCAGGAACGGACAACAGCAGCTGGCGAGCCGTGATCACCACAATCACAAATACTTTGCCATCGAACATATATCGGGGGGTGCTGTTGCAATCCTATGCTTCAGTCGCCACGCTTGCCGTCGCACCACCCTCAGCACCCTTCTGCGAAGGAGACGCAGGCATCAACAACGCATTGACGTCGTCACAAACAGCCTTCGTAAACCTTCCGTCCAACACACTGTCACCCAGCTGCCCGACAAATGGATTCATCAGCTGGTTGGCAATCGCATCTATCCCGTGAAATCCGAAAGCTATCAGGGCAGTGACTGGGATTGCGCTGTCGCCCAGCTTACCGCAGAGGAGGAAGGGAGCCGAGTACACAAAGGTGAAGCGGAGGATGCGGCCGATGCGCAGGTACGGCGTCGGGAAAGGCGTCGTCGCGATCTTGGCGCACCCGTTGAAGTGCCGCTGCAGGACCGCGAGCGAGGGCCCCACGTGCTGCGCCACGACGCCGAGCCGCACGCCGACATCCTGGCCGCCGATCAGCGACCCGCCCGCCCTCTCCTCGACCGCCGTCCTCTGGAGCACGTCCCGCACCCGCTGCAGGACAAGGGCCGACCGCACCCGCGGCGTCGCCGCCTCCAGCATCGGGACCTCCTCCGGCGTCGCGTCGAGCAGCTCGGCCGCGGTCAGGGACTTGCCCGCCTCGCCGAGGTCGTAGATCACCCTCTTGCGGGTTGCCTCGGTGTCCTTCCAATAGACAGGGGAACAAACCATGACACAAACAGAAACTTTCGTTGGTGCGCGCGGATTTCTCGGATCGGCGCTGAGGCCCCCTGGCGGCGCCTCTGGCGCCGACCCTGGCAAGCTGCGCGCGCCAGGGAAGGGGGTCCAGCGCTGATCCGAGAAATCCGCGCGGATCTCCGAAAGTTTATGCTTGTGTCTTTTTTTGTTCCCCAGATAGAAGCTCCGGACCTTGGTCTCCGCCGAGCTCGTGCGCAAGAACTGGGTGGCCTCCCGCATGTACAGCCGCAGCAGGCGGGCCAGCTCCGCCTTGCAGCTCGCCCGCCACTCGCCGTCCTGGCTCGCCCCGGAGTCCAGCAACGTCGTGGCGCAGCTGGCCGTGTCCACCAGGCCGGCCATGAGCAGGCCCAGCTGCGAGCGCGCCTCCCAGTAACGCTGGTACGCCTGCGAGGTACGGAAAACGGTGATGAGGGAGTTCAGCGTGCCGATGATCGTGAACGCCGCGAAGGGGCTCTCCTCGAAGTAGAACTCGAACTTGAGGCACAGGATGGTGAGAACCACGACCGCGAGCATGGGGCTGAACGTCGTCTCCCATATGATCGCATCGCCTGGAGGAAGAAACCACGAGACAACAATCATGAGCGTTCGAACGTCGGATTTCTTGGATCGGCGCTGGGCCCCCTCCCTGGCGTTCGGAGGCGCGCCAGGGGCAACGCTGGAGGCGCCGCCAAGGGGTCCAGCGCAGGTCGCAGAAACGCGCGCGGACCTCTGGAAGTGTATGTTTCTGCAGTTTGCTCCTCTTCGATCGCCAGGGGAGCCGAGGGAGGGAACGAAGTGCAGGTTGAGCCACTCCCCCTCGTCGAGGGTTGCCCCTGCTTTCCCCGCCCCCTCGCCGGGGATTGCCAGGAGTGGTCCTTGCCCAGGGTGCCCAGGGCTTTTCCGTGTCACTCCGGGGTGCCTGGTTACTAGGCCCCCTGGGCCTCATGAGGGGTGCCGCCCTGGAGGCTACACTGGCCTGCTGGGAAACTCCGGGGACACCCCAGGCAAGGGATACCCTGAGATCCGACGGCGAATGAATTAAACAAAAATAGTAGCAGATCACGGTCGGGGCCCTAGACCCAATCTTTCTGCGGCATGTTCCAAGCTGGATCGATCTGTGGGGGCCTGGGCGCCCGAAATCAGGGCGAAAAAACGCCCGGCTCGAGAAAACAGAGACGCCGGGATCTCAAGGCACCTCTTTGACAGGGCACCCGGCCTCCCCCCCCTGCCGCGCGCAGCGCCGCGCGGGCGGCGCAGGACACCTGAGCGACGAAAAGAAGCGGGTCCTATACTCAGAGCGTTAATTACCTACCCCGCTTTCGCTTCCAGGCAAAACCAAGTCGTGCCATACGCCTCCTCGTCAAGCGGCCTGACAAGTACATGCCGTAGTTTGACATCGCTTGGTATCTCTTGGAAGCGAGGGTGGTCAAAAGCGAGGTAGGTTTATTGCCCCCCTGTATACGCGAGATGGCATGGCAACCTTTACGCCGCGGCTTACGCAGGCCGCCAGCGCGACGCGCCACCCCTCGGAAACGGGGGGCGCTCACGTGCGACCCGACGCGGACAGCCTCCGAGCAGGGGCCTCCCGCCCCAGCATTCCTATAGGCCTACCACGACATGCTCTTAGAACCCAAGCTGGCCATCGCTCGGACGTCCATTCCCTGTGTTTTTGTTCGGTTTCGTGCGTGGCTTTTTCGCCAAATGATCAAGGATGCTCCTCGTCCGAGCGATGCCAAGCAAGACTGTTCGAAAATGAGCTCGACCTGCCAAAACAATAATGTTTCAGCCAAGCGTGTTCTAAGAACACTTCGTACAGACCGCACACGGTGCTGAGAACACTCTTTGGCGGACCTGTAGGCAAGCCAGGACGCTTCGCATCTGCTCGAAGCTTACGCGCGAATGTCGGCGCAGCCGGCGCCGTGTTCTTCCGGCGCCCACCTGCCCCCACGAGCCCCTCCTGCTAGAGGCCTCCTAGATGGGGTCGGAGTAGACGTGGTCGGAGGATCGCACCGCATCGCCGATGCATCGGCGATGCATTGGCGATGCACCGGCGACGTCGGCGATGCACCGGCGACGTCGGCGGGGAGAAGCTCGGGCTCCACATCGATCCGCACCACCGATGCCTCGGCGATGCGGCGCGACCCTCCGGCCCAATCTGCTCTGACCCCATCCGGGGGGGCCTGGACCTGCTGCGTGCAGCGCATCGTCTAATCTAATATGATATCTGATATCCTCCTCCTCCTCCCTCCTCCTCCTCCTCCTCCTCCTCCTCCTCCTCCTCCTCCTCCTCCTCCTCTCCTCCTCCTCCTCCTCCTCCTCCTCCTCCGGGGCCCTGCGCGGCGCGGCGGCGCCCGGCGCGGGCCGCCCGCGCGGGGGCGCGCGCGCGCCCGGGGGGCCGCCCGCGCGGGGGCGCGGCGCGCACGCCGCGCGCAGCATCGCGGGAGCGCGGGTGCGCCGCCCCGCGCTCCAGCGAGTCGGGCGTGGCTCGATTGGGGGGGGCGATCGGCGAGCGGGGAGAGGCGTGCACCCCGCGTGCTCCTGCTGGGGCCCAGGGGGGGTCCCACTGGAGTCAGTTATAGCAAGGAGGCGCGAGAAGGATGCAAGGGCCTTGGGCGCCCATTTCGAAGCCTTTCGAGCGGGCCGCGGCCAACGAAAGCGGCCAAGGATGGGTCGAGGAGGCAAGGATGCAAGGGTACCCTTGGAAAGGCTGCCCATCCTTACTGTGCGGGCTGACCGTAGGGCACGAACGAATCATTTTTCCACACACACCCATTGATCGCCCCCCCCATTACGCAAAGCCCGAGAGAATGGTGGCGCCTCGGCACCAGGCTCGGGCGGTAGTGGCTGCGGAGGCCCGCAGGAGCTTCAGGCGGCCCGGGCCTGTCGGCCCCGGCGCTCTCCGTCCAAATCTGCAGCCTCTGGGGCGGCGCTCACCGTTACAAGCAGTTCCGCGACGGGGATCTGCTGAGCCTCCCCTCCCCCCTCCTGGGGAAAAGGGGTCCAGACCTCTGGGGCCCACAGATTGGAAACATCGATCCGTCGGAACTCTGGGAAATCTGAAGAGGGTGGAAGAGGGCCAAAGCGGGATCGGGCTCGTGGGGCCCAGGGCGTCGAAGCCGAGGCTGGCTGCTCAGCGACTGCGGCGGCGCATGGATCTCCGAGGGGCGACGCGGCAAGCTCGTGCCGCGACGACGTCGGCGCTGGTTCCCGACACTGCGTGGATCGCTCGGCCTTGAATGATCGCACATCCTCTCGACAGCGCGGATCGTTTGATGTCGGCCGATTCCATGCGACAAGTGACAAGCAAGCAAGCAAGCAAGCAAGCAAGCAAGCAAGCAAGCAAGCAAGCAAGCAAGCAAGCAAGCAAGCAAGCAAGAAAGCGCGCCGTGCACGCCCAAAGTGTTGACTGGCACAGGACAGACAAGGCGCGGTTGCCTTCCAGGGAAGCGCTCCACGCAGCAAGCACTGCACGCTACGATGACAGCAGGAGGCGGAGGAGGAGGAGGAGCGGGGGAAGGACCAGGAACTGAACCTTGAACCCCCGCGCCCAGGTCCCGCGAGACCCCATGGCAAAAGAGGCGGTGGACCCTGGACGCTCGCGCCCAGGCCCCCGCCGCGCCAGCGCGGCGCGGGCCTCACTGCCGTGCCCAGATGCTCGCCCGCATCTCTGTGGCGATCTCTGCTCGCGAACTTGCCCGAGAGGGCCACCCCCTCCTCTACATCGCGCGGCCCTGATGAAGGGGGTGCGCCGCAGAGGGGGCCGACGGATTGCGCTGCCCGCCTCCCCCCTCCCTCCTCCTCTCCTCCTCTTCCTCCTCCTCCTCCTCCTTCTCCTCCTCCTCCTCCTCCTCCTCCTCCTCCTTCTCCTCCTCCTCCTCCTCCTCCTCCTCCGCTCCCTCGCCTCCTCCTCCCTTACTCCCTGCTTGCCTTCTCCCTTGCGTGCCTCCCCGCTTGGCTGCCCACCTGCTTCGCCCCGCCGGCCCTGACCCCTTGCCTGCGCGGTCGCCGTCGTCTGCTGGCTCCCCGTGCCCTTCCTCCCTCTCCGCTGCAGCGCAGCACAGGCTGCCGGCAGCAGAGCAGGCAGCGCCGGCACCTTTCGCTGCGCACCAGCACCGAGGAAGCGAGGCACGGGCGAGGGGGAGGCGAAGCAGCGGACGCCTCGCGGGACACGCCACCGCAAGAGGTGGGATGCCCTGCGGCACGAGCCGTCCGTGGGAGGGGTCCCTGTGCTACAGAGAGCCCCATCCCCCAAGGGCAGGACCAGAACCAGCTGCATAAACTTACAGGGGTCCACGCGCATTTCCTCCGTCGGCGTTGCCCCCCCCCCCCCCCGCACCCCAGCCCCTTCCCTTGCGGTGACGGACCGTGCGGTGACCAGGAAATCCCCAAAGACCCGACCGCTCGGTCCGCCACCGCACTTTCTTGGGACCCCGGAGGCCCCAGTCGCCCGAGTCGTCCTCGGAGCACGACCCGAGTCCCAGAACCGTGCGGCCACCCCGGATCTCCACTGCCTCACAGAGCGGTGTGAGCACCGCTTTGGGCCCCCTCGACTGGCTCGCGCCGCGCGCGCGCAGGGCGCGCACGGGCCTCCGCAAGTGCATCGAGGCTCATGCGGTTGTTTGTTGTTCAGTCTGTGCTCGTGTGAGTGTGTGTGTGTGTGTGTTTGCTGCCGTGTTTGGCCTCTCCGACGGCACTGCGTGTACCCCCCCCTGCTATCCTCGCCCGGATGGCTGATGCTGGCAGGACTGCGTCCCAGGTGCTGCTTGAGGGTCTGGCCGCCGCGCGCACTGTCTGGATGCTTTCTCGCCTCGTCGCCGCGCGCGAGGCCGCTGCCGCCAACAAGCGTGCGTGTGTGCGTGTGTGCGTGTGGCGCCGCTCCCGGCCACTGCTCCGTGAGGGGCCGGCCGCCTCGCTCTTCCTCGCGCTTCTCTTTCCTTTCTTTTCCGACGACTGCGCGCTCTGCCGCCGGCCGCACGCCCAACGGTGTGGCGACTCGCCCACCCGCAGCGCCCGAAAAACGTGTGTGTGTGTGTGCGTGTGTGTGTGTGTGTGTGTGTATGTGTGTGTGGGCGTTTGTGTGTGTGTGTGAGTGTGAGTGTGAGTGTGAGTGTGTGTATGTGTGTGTGGGCGTGTGTGTGTGTGTGTGTGTGTGTGTGTGTGTGTGTGCAGGTGTGAGCGGGTGCGGGTGCGGGTGCGTGCGTGGGCGGCTGCGGGTGCGGGTGCGGGTGCGGGTGTGGGTGTGGGTGCGTTTGCGGGTGCGTGGGCGGGCGGGCGGGCGGGCGGGCGTGTGTGCGTGTGTGTGTGTGTTTATGTGTGTGTGTGTGTGTCCCACCCGCGCCGGGCTCCTCTTCTCTTCCCCCGTGCACCGCGGCTCAATTCGCGTTTTGTGTGTCACGCTAATGCTACATCGCCAGAGCAGTCACTCTGCCTAGCCACCGACGCAAAAAAGTGTGTGTGTGTGTGTGTGTGTGTGCGTGCGTGTGTGGAGGTGCGTGTGTGTGTGCGCGCGTGCGTGTGTGTGTGTGTGTGTGTGT